CGTGTGCTTCTTTTCACAACAACAAGAGAGGATTTCATTTTAATGCACTCTGGGAAGAAAAAAAAAACCTACGGTATTCTTTAACCGAGATGGGTAGTAGAATCTGCGGTTAAGTATATATGCATCTCTGTATGAGGCACAGACAGATGACAGGGGCAACAAGAATGACATCAACACAAACACACCCAGCAGCATGAATCTTCTCATGCAAAATGCTAAAACACATTCTGTCTCACTCCCAAAGCAAAGCCAAAGTGCACACAGCCCTACCTTTCTGAATGAGAAAAGAGACACCAAAAATAAAAAATCTGTTATTTCATTAAAGCATTATGGTGCAGTGGGAAGGTGCACATTAATATGTGTATACCAAAGACATGATAAGAAAAGCACACTGTAAAAATAGCCAGGATTCCAGATCAAATGGCATAAAAAAATAAAACCTTGAGATGGCTGTTGATAGGTATGTGGCCAAATATTTTTCTAATTGGTAGGACACTTTATCTTGGTGTCAGATATGCAGTAAAAAGCGATGCTGTTCCCAGAAGGAGAGCAGCACAGCTTGCCGGCCTTTTATTAGAGCTGGAGCTCTGATATATGCGTCTGCTCTAGGCTTTCATCAAGAACCAGCACCATAAACCCACACAAAGAACCCTCACAATCTAACCACCCTGAAAAAACACCGTTGGACAATTCATCTACTTTATAAAAAATGCAATCAGCATACAGTAAACAGAAAATGACTGCCAAAGAAAGTTTTCTAAAACAAGCTGATGATCCAAACACTAACCGGGGCTTTGGTTTACGGGTTAACGCAATGGTCATAAATCGTAAAATTACACCACACAGAAGTATTCAAATCCAGAAACAACACAGCAGTGCCAACTAAATAAATGCCCCAATACAAACAGATAGTGTAAAAGGGTATTGAAGCAACTTGGCAGTGTAAAACGATTAAGTCACTAGAGAATAAGAAAGTATAAAAAACGGCATGCACAACAACCACTGCCGCAAAAACTCTTACATACGCAGTTCATGCGAAGCCAGTTTCTGCACACAGAGGCACTCCAAACTGACTCATGCAGACAGACTCACAGGCGCAGACAAAGGCAGTGAGAGTGATGGACGCATGCGCGTACAAACAAAAACATTCACACACACTCACAACACACGGCTAAATTCAATTTCGGTCCTGGGGCAGACAACTAAACTGCCTGTGTGCGGAACCTACTCTGCAGCACAGCAAAACCAATTCTCAGACGACGGCGAAATTAAAGGGCAGAATGCAGCCTGTTTATGGTGCACACTCTGTCCTCCTCTCAATCACTGGTTTTTATTAGCAATCATTTGGTGCTAAAAGTCATGTTCTTGGGAGGGGGCTGGCGTGATGACAGCAGCCGCTGGTCAGACAACACCACCTCGACACATAACACTCGCGATTATTTACACCGGCGGGTCTGCTAGAAGCTCAAATTAACCCCAAGATAACCACGGTTAGAAAGGGCCATGCTCAAATAAATCTTCTACTCCACGCTTTTATCTATACTGTTTCTTGAATAACCCTTTAAAATGAGACGTATAACTAAGCACATGGCAATGCTAATAAGCAGCTGCCTCAACAGAACATGTTTGCCAGTTTGTAAAAAAGCCCAGTAAACCAGGGGCTGAGCGCTACTGGATACAAACAATTAAATCAACAACAACATTCTGATCCTACAAAGGGAATAACAATGTGAACAAAATGCAATAATAACCTGAGACTTTATTGATCTGGTAGAGACCCACATATTGTAAAATCACTATTTGGATTCTGTTGGCTGAGGTGTGAGCAGTCAGAAGCACTGTACCTGCTGATTGAGGGAGCCATGTTGAATAACTGCATGTAGCAGCAGGAACGCGTAGCAATAAGTAGCTCCTGTGTTTTGCTTTTACAATGTTCATTTTCCATATTCTTACACTTTACGCATTTGCGGACAAAGCTTTTCACACGTTGCGTTGTAGTGGTATAAACATTTATGGGAAAATATATTTTCAATTTAGAAAGTCAGTACTTAGTTTAATTTAAAGGGCTGAATGAAAATGTTGTATAAAGGACAAAAACATGTTGGTGGTTGTTTATGCTGTTAATATGTTCACACATACTGTATATCTGCAAGATTCACATGCATGTGCTAGTTCCCCCGATTTGCCTGTATATTGTATCTCTGAGGCTGATTGTATCTTTTTCTACCTGTCTACCCTACAACCCCCACCCTGCTCTGCTCTTCTCTCCTCTGGTGTCTAGAATGGGCTGCAGGGATTAACCACTGACTGGAGACTGGAGATATATGCGTCATTAAAGCAGAGAGCACAGTGTTGCACAAGGAGAGAGACAATGTCAACAAATGTGACAAAGAGACAGAGGAGACAAATACCAGAAATTCACATGTTCCCTCACATACAAACAGGCACACAGACACATATGCATGGATGCAAAAACTAATGTATCGCCGCAAACTGGAGTTGAGAAACACAGGTCACTACTTTAGGTAAATAGTAACTATATTTGAATAACTAAACATTTCTAGGCATTGATTTAGGTTACATAGAGTATTTCTGGAAACACCGATGGAACACAGTATATATAATATAATATATAATTTAAGTTTAATGGTTTTCATGACTTACTGTACGTGTAAGCCATATTCTTAGTATTATATAGGACTTCATCCTAATCTATTTCTAAATCACGTATTGTGCTAAAACACCTGTTAGTAAGCAATGGATCATAATCCAGATTAAGGGGTACACTACGCCAAGAGAATTCCAAACTAGAAAACCCCTGAGACACAAAGGAGCATTGATAACGGTACCATGGCCAAAGTACGTGATGAAAACACTCCACATACAGTATATCAGATTTTTTAATTTTGTAACCTCATTTTGAAATGAAGGACATCATTAGTGTCTTGTGTGGTTCCTTTCCTCAGGAAGAAAGCATTTACAAAAACAAATCTAGCAGGCCGGAAATGTAAGAAACTGGAAAACTATACAAAATAAATAGATACAAAAAGAAGTTGGGCATTTTGTTGCTCGCTGCTTTTCATCAATAAAGATAACATGGCTGTATGCTTGAGTTTCTGAACAATAAGATAGCAATGGCTGAAGCCACAAAAAGATTTTCAAAAAATACAACAGACATTTAGAAGTACGCAATGGTTCTCTAACATTTTCAAATATTCAGGCCCCGAGCCCCATGGTCAGTCATGACCATTGATATTTCAAGTGAATATCTGACCAGGTCCTTGTACACAAACCACTGGCAGAACCTCTGTGTCTGAGTGGCTTTAACAGATTATATCATTCATTCAAAACCGTGGCCATTTGTTGTGTAGCAATATTGTGAGTAAACCTGCATTTGCTAGTTACGCTGTAACTCTAATATTTTTATTTCTTTTCATTTTACTTTTTAAATCAGTCTTCCCTGGCAGTCTATGGGAGAGTCATTCTGAAAATGCAACCACTCCTTGTGAAGTAAGGTCAAGCGGGCTTGTGGAGGATCACGGTGCACATTGTGCCTTTTCTTGGCAGGCAAACAAATCCACCTTTGCTTTCCTAAACCTGTCCTAAAGGGAAACACGTTCTGGTGTCCCTCTAATGAGCTATGGACACCCCCGAGACATTAAGTCTGCAGCACAGTCCCATACCCGGGGTGCTGGTTCTCAAGTTGTCTTTTCTCACAATTACATGTTATTTTTTAGCAGAGCAACAAAGTTTCAGCACTGTGGACAGCTCCAGACAGGTCACGTGGTGCAATGCGAGAAGCTTTCATTATCACCTTCAATTTAACACTTTATCTTCAATTGTTGAACGCTTGAAGCTGATGAAAAAAGGGGAACAGATTTATGAACATATGGCTGTCATGTATTGCAAGTACAGATGTAGGAAGAGGCCCATTCCGGGAACAGGGTTTGCAAAAACAATCTTCACAGCTGCAGAATGCATGCAAAGATAAACCCACTGTATATTACTGAAAACATTCAGTGTGAAAAAAATTCTATGGCATGTACTCGATATGACAAGATACAGTCATACTTTGCAAAAGACAAACAACCAACACAACCTTAGAGGATGTTCTTTAAATGTTTTTTGAAGAGAATTTGTTCTTTCGATGCTGTAGTCAAAATTAATAATTACCTCACTCGTATTAATGCTCCAACACAGCAGACAAACCATAACGTAATAGTGAAATATAATGCACATGAGCTAGATGGGGATGAGACAATGAGTTAACGGTTACCATGTGGAATTTGGGTTATAAATAAATGGTGGGTAATTGTTACATTCGATGACCTGCTGGGGGAAAAGTAGCTTTCTTGAATCTTGTTGTTTGGGTCAGCAGTGGATAAAAGCATCGGCTAGATGTAATGTAGCGCTAAGGCAGCACTGAGAATGTTCCAGGCAACACAACAGAGCGAGTGCGACTGAGACAACACATTCAGGCTCTGACTGAACAACACAAACAGAGTCTGCCTAGACGCTTGGTAACAGGTGACACGATCAATCATCACAGTCACTGATTCAGATTGGTCAGTGTTATTTTCTCCAGTAAGGTTGCAAGCAGCATTTTTCTTCAAATGTCATCAATTGTCAGAATCCTTGGTTTGTCACTGTGTTTGTCATACAGAACATGTTTGTCTGGTAGCTCAGTGGAAAACCCTGCCCATGAGTATACTTTGTTTCCTTTCTGTGCATCACAAATGAAAGTAATTAGTTTGCCTTTTTTAGTACTTCTTAATACATGTATACATTTGAACCGTGCATCTACAAGTTGCATTATTCAAGATCAGATGGCACCAGAAAGTCTACATTTAAGTAATATGAAACCACGTAGGGATGGAAATATTTCAGATTTGGTGTTCAAATTACTATTCTGCTCAAAATGCATCAAAGGGATGAGCACATGAAGCATGATGAATCTGGGGCCTGCTGGAAAACCCCGGGCCTGGCAGGGAGCACCATACCTGACTCTGGAGCTCCTGGGCCTGCTGAGTCTGGCTCTGAAGCTGCTTTTGGTTTTGCTGCATGCGACTCTGTTCCTCCGGAGATCCAGACGACTCTCCTGCAGTTCAGGCAGCAACTGAGAGATCCTTTCTCCTGGATGTCCAGCTATTGAACCACAAAAGGAGGCAGGGCAGCAAGAGGAGAAAAATCAATCCAGTATACAGAGCCTATCCTCTCTGCGCAGCTAACCTGCTCACTCTCTAGCTGAGACAAAGATTCAACATGGTTCCCAATCCAAGAGCAGATACCCAGAAATAAAGCTGGCCACATTCTTGTCCCGTCAATGGCAGGCCTCATATCTATACAGCTTCCTTGTCAAACTGATTGGTTTTAATAATGATCGGCCTTAACTTCACCAAAGTGAGAACTTGAAACAAAAAATACATTATTGTGAAGGCTCGATGTAGTCTTTAATTAAAGCAAAGAAAACAAATACACATTGTTTTCTATGTCTAAAGTTATTGTCAATAAATAAGTCATTAAAAAAGGAAAATGTTAATTACAGAACAAAAATTGAAAACTAAACGTGACAGATCTATCAAAATACAGCACAAAAGGTTACAGAACATGCTATTCTACAAATATTTAAAATGAATGTTTTATATTTCAAAAACGGTAGTATTGAGGTAGTGACGGAAGGGGAATGAGCAGCAATCGTCGGGATAAACCTTGCAAAACTAGAAACAAACAGTTGCCAGCCCAGTACGTGAGCCAACAATAATAAACAGGCCACTAATTAATACTACTGTGCTGTGCTAAATCAGGGAAGAGGGGAAGGGACGGAGGGGGAGAGAGAGAGAGAGAGAGAGAGAGAGAGTCAAAGCCGGTGAGAGAGGAAGGAGGGAGCTCGGGAGAAAGGGAGGATAGCAAGAGAAGAGAAACAGACCTGGTTCACCTGGACGGAGCCTTTAATCCAGTATGCCCGATGCAGTGGCGTCCTTACAGAAGGAATTATAACCAGAGAAGATGGAGACCCGGACAGGAACAAAGCCTGATTTAACCATCGTCAAACAGGCTGGCAAACACTCGATGAAATAATATAACAAAAAACAAGAGTGAAAAAGAGTTATTTCCGTTCTTGCGCTGTTCAAGGCACAGTGTTATCTCCGTGTCCGTTTTGATTCTCGGAATGGGTCAAACAAAAGAGGCTGGCGGTCAATCCTGAATTAAAAACACAGATTATACAGAAATCCATTTCGCGGAATCACTTAAAACGTGTCTCATCCGTTAGCACTCTCTTTCTGTATGCGATCCACACCGATAACCCTGGTCTTGCTTTCTTTCCCTCACAATCGCTCCCTCTCTCTCTATTCTCCCCTCCTAAACTGATCAATACTTCATTTAAATCATGACATTAGCACACTACTACTGGAAAAGAGGGCGAGAACAAACACAAACGAGCGTCTTATGTTACACAATATCTGACATTTAATGTCCTTGAATTGTGAGATTTCTCTAAAATAATCATGCAAATCAAAGAGAGAAATATAGGAAACCGTGCAGGAGCTGTACTGCTGTTTGGATTCGAGCTCCTGAGACCGACGATGATCAATACAGATTTAAATCCAGGCTACAGAGAGCTATCATAATATCTCATCAGAAAAAGGCAAACATGCTTTCCCAATTATTGTCTCAAATTACTAGTGCGAGGGAACAACAGTTGGATGCTGATAGAGGCATATTTCATATTTATTCAGCAGAATTTTTACTTTAGCACCTGAGCGCATAATTGCCTAATATATATGCACACTCACATTTTTATCTATTCACATAATTCACAATGAGCACAATCAATACTGGCCTCTCTGTACTCCGCACCAAGCTCATCAAGTGCGTCTGCATTGAATAAGCTGTTCAGAAAACCCCCAAACACCAGCCAATTTCCTGGCGCTCATTGAAATCGAGAGCGAACATAAGTGGCTAATCTTCCTGTTCGTCATTAAACCCGGATATTTACCTGAGACGCCTGAGAGTCACGGGCCTGGTGAGGTGAGCAGCTCTTCTCCTTGGAATATCAGGATGGTCTCATCCCACTGAGATGACTGAAAAAAAGCCAGTCGAGTCAGGTTTTTCTCCATTCTGAACATGGGTGAACAGTGGAGGACCGGAGGAATCAGAGAGGAGAGAGGGGCAGACGGTGAGCCCCGCACTAGGTGGGAAGTGGTGGATGTGGAGCTGAAGTCGATCACTCGGGGGAACATGCACTTACATATAGCCAGCCGCCAATGTCAACCAATGAGCAATTAGGCAGACAAGACTTAAGTTATTGATCGGGGGTTCAGGCTCTTTTCTCGGGGCTAGTTAGCCTGCTTGAGGTTGTGGCTGCTACAGCTGTGGACCGCACAACGAGAAAAGGCAGCACAAAAGGAAGTTGGAGGAAGGGCAGGGCAGTTCTTTCTCTCCTCAGGCCTTGAGCTTTTGAGTTGGGCTCTCAACATTATCATTTAGGCGATCGTTTGCACCTGAACACGCGGTGCATACAACAGGAATTTGTATGACTAACTGAACCTTCATACAAAAGCATCCTCTCGCAGAAAGAAGAGCATTTAGTAGAACGCAAACAAACAATAAAGTATGTGATGGAAAGCAACAATCTTGGAAACGCATCAAGGGCAGTATACGACGTGGGTTGGGACACCATTATCAGGTACGACCACAGTAATGGAGCAGTGCCGAGTGGTGAACGTGGGCTAGCCAGTGTGGGAGAGACTTCACATCTGTTCAGGAATAAAGTACTCTGCATTATCTTTACATGACAAATAGTTGTCGATGCTATATTTAATAGCTTCATATTATAAATGGATACTATACTGCAGCAATTCTGTGAATTGCTGGATGGCCAATTAATGCAAACCCTTTTTGCATTAATTGGCCGGATTTAAGCTATTGACTTAGCTGCAGTCTCTGCTCCAAAGTAACAAAATAGGATGGAAAACACAGTATGGCTTATTGGAACAATGCACCCAGCTGGTTTGGCGTATTAGAGAATGTGAGCCATGCTGAGCTTTGTTAACAATGGCTTGGTTAGTGAGCTAATAGCTAAAATCAACACGTTTCTAAGAAGACGTGTTTGTGTGCGAGTGTGTGACTAGGGGTGGGGGAAAAAATTGATTTTTCGATTTCTCTCGATTCTCTCTAGAACGATTCGGTCTCGATTCAGAAAAGTTAATAATCGGAATAAAAAATAAAATAAAAACGTAGATGACAACCAGCTACAGCCATCATTTACCATCATTACCGGCACATTAAGAGCAATGCGTCCAGCTCGCAGACCGGTCCGTCAGTCTGAATCTGTGAATATCTAATAACTTTACCGAACTATGGAGGAGCCTGCGCATATCTTACCTCATTATTTAGATTTTCCAAAAAGTCGATCCGTATTGAAAGTTGGCAAGATATTCAACTTTTTTCTGGTATTTTACAAATACTGAGACTAAGAGCAGCTGCTTCTTCATTTAAAAGAAAAATGAATCTGTTTTTTTTTTTTTACATAGGCTACTTCCATATTGTGTTGAAATGCAAGCTGCATTGGTTCTTGCATTGTTGATAGAAAATCATATTCGTGACAAAGATTTTTTTTCTCTTATAAAAAATTAGAGAAGGTAATTCATCTGTTGATTTTCTTTAATTATCAAATAAAGTAGGAAGTGATTAGCAACCTCTGAGTAGCAAACTCAGATTTGAGAAAATTTTGAAAATCGAGATGCATTGATAATTGTTTTATCAGTTTAGAATCGATAATCGGTTTAGAATTGAATCGTTGACCTCTGAATCGGAATTGAATCGAATCGTGAGGTGCCAAGAGATTCCCACCCCTAGTTTGTGACTGTGTGTTTTTACACAAGTCTATGACGGTATCAGCATCAAAAGAAGCATTTGATGCTCTAATAACCACGCTGATGCTGATTTGGGGCGTTTACCTGCTCTGGTGAGTCTGTCTTGATTTTCTTATGAACTATCAGCATACTGAACACCACAACGTATACTGCAGCAGAAAATGGCCACCACCATGTTTTGCAAATAATATTGTTGATAAACAATGTAGGCCTTTGTTTTCCTTTTTTATTGTCTGTATTTCTTGTTTAATTTATCTCTCTTCTTGTTTCAGGTTGCTTCTTTTCCTGCCTTTGTGTATTTGCTTGTATATAAATGCCCAAATGAGATAATGAATTAACAACAATGATATGCAGAGGCAATCTTCTCCCCTTTTGCTTTGGCTTGTGCCTTTATATGCATTTCTTTCTTATGTTTTAGAAAATCAATTCTGATATTTCACAGGAAGCATGATAATGAAAAGGCACAAGAAACACTCAGCGATTGCTCATTCCTCACAGCATCCATTGCCTCTGCATCAAAAGGACACCTTTAATATTTGGACTTTCCACGTCACTCTAGGCTAAATCCCTAGCAACCACCATGGCAACATACTCAGTTCAACGTGAAATGCATGGCAAGTTCCCTGCTGCCACCAGACAGAGAACAAAAAGGGGAAAGAAAAAAAGGAACAATCCGATGAAAAACGGACAGAAAAGGCTTGAAAAGGTCAAAATTAAGTGGAGCTGAGAAGACAACGACACACCACAGCCATGCTTGTATCAATAATCATACCATTTGTGTGTGTGTGTGTGTGTGTGTGTGTGTGTGTGTGTGTGTGACATGTGACAAACAAAGCACAGTAAGAGCTATAAAGGAGAATCCTAAAACGAGTGACGTGTAATGCAGACAAAGAACCTTAGACCAGTGGGTATCCTGCTGCTCGGCCTTCGCCTCTTTTTGATGGGAGAAGCAAATCTCATCTGGACGGATAAATTACGCTTTAAAATGTAATGTATGAATACATATGAGCGTGTGTAGACATATAAACACAATTGTTTCATCGAATTATAAATGGCCCTCTTGTTATTATGGTATTAGCATGGAATAATATAACGCTACAGCCAACATTATTATTAGTAATTCTAAATTATTATGTGGCTTACTACTACCAATATTAGAATAAATTCTGTTCTGTTACGTTGTCTTTGTGTGCAGATTATAAAGCCCTCCGGGGCCATACTAAATAAATGGGAAATGTAAAAAAATCGTCAAAACTACCTTCTCACATTTCACATTTCTGTGGTATTTCCTACACAAAACAAGTGGAACTAGTTTCCACCCCACAAAGAAGATGTAAACGTAACATGCAAGGTCTAGTCCTATTGCACGTAAGCTGTACTCTCTGCAGGGCGAGCGATGTTCAGACACGTTTCTTCACCTTTTCGTAAATCCTGGGCGGTACACTGCTACTTCTGCTGCTGCTACTGCTACACTGCCTCATGTGTCAGTGAGTCTGGATCACGTGGCGCTGCTCCCCATCATACTGTTGCCGTATACTGATGTGAGATCCCATATCTTGATATTGGTCGGATCATGTGACCCACCATGAGGTCACTGGCTAGCTAAGAAGGCAATAAGCAGAGACATGTAGCATTACAGTAGCGGAGGAGGAGGTTGTTTGACACACACAGGGATTCAAGGCAATTTAAGGAATATTTTTAATCCAATTAAAAAATGGATTTAAGACTGTTGCACAGATACACTATTGTTGACGTTTTATCAATAGCTTTGCACAGACGAAACACTAAGAACAGAAAAGTCCGGCCCTGTCAATGAGTATTTATTGCCAGTGAGGGCAAAAATGCACTTACTAAGGTGCTCTGAGTAGCTATTAAGTGTGGCCACAAGTGTGGAGGTGACCTCTGGTTTTAAGCAGCTGCATCTCAGACAGATAAAGCTGCAAAGGCCATCCAAAATGAATTTCCTGAAGTTTCATCCTGGTGAAAAGGGACATTAATTTAGAGACAAGGCTGTGACAGAAAAAGCGGTGTACTGATCAAACGGTGGGCTGTTTGAGGGCTTCCAAATTCCAGGTCTTTCTCTACGAGGGACCTTGACAGGGTAAGAATCGCTGCTTCTGGTGCCAGTTAGGTCAACACAAGAATATTTTTGCAAGGTTTGTGAGTCATTATTTTTTAGTTAGTCAAACACAGTAATTATAGTAAACACAAACACAATAATGTATATATTGAACCCTATAAGGAACATCTCCAGGACCTTTAGTACACAGTAGGCCAGTAACTCATCAGATGTCTCTCAATGTAAATGCAGTTGCATTAGTCATATACATGCAGGCAAAAACAATACGCATAGTCAATGTTCAAGAAATTCCCCCCAAAACGGTCCATCATTTTCTGCCAACTCAATCCTTGATCTAAATTACATTCTTTACAGTTCAGTTCAGTTTTACTGAAAATACAGTTTAGTTTGGTTTTAAATCAACTCAAGAAAAGAAAAATAACAAATACTGACAATGGTTTGAACCATGGTTCAAAAGCAAGCGGTTGTACAAAATTAGAAAAAGGTTTTTCTATGACTTTCCAGCTAAAGCTGCTTATTCTGTAACGTGTGAGTGTGTGAGTATACATGTAGTGTATGTGGTGGCAAATGGATAGATGCCACTAATGTAATCACTGCTGCCACAGTATATTTAGTTTCAACAAAGAGGTCACATAGTTTATGTGAGAGATTCCGACAGTGTACACATGCTTAACTTAATAAATCACCTATTCTATTGTTGTTACTTAAACACTTCTCTACCAGATTGAAAAACTCTTTGGGAAATGTACCTCCATAAACTGCATGTATGCCCCTTTAACCGCCTTTGCTAATACTCAAGCGCTTTTTGCAGCGCTAGCTATGCAATATACATACGTAACCAAACATGTAATATAAAATATTGCACTTTAATGATTCAAGGTCAATTCCCTCGTCTCACCAAACAAGTAAATGGCTGCAATCTGAGGATGGCTGGCTGTTGACTTCTGTTTATCTCTGCCCCCCCGCTCAATATAGTCAAACTATTATGGGTTAAAGGGATAAAAACGCAGTGTATATGAAAATGAAATCTAAAGACATCCTTTACCCGACCCTTTAGCCTTTGAAGCGACAGCAGATTTGTGCATCAAGAGCGGGGCCTGAATCAGCTAAATTGCATCCGTTCTTA